GACATTTCCCATCTCAATAGAAGCTTGGCACTTAATTATACAGTATTGGATTTCCTAGCCATGGCACTCAGTCAGGATGGCAGTTGCGGTCGTAGTAGCAACCCGAAGAAAAGCAGGATCGAACAAGCACCACAGGATTGATCCGGATGGCGAGACTAACGTCCGTCGTGACCCTGGCAAGCTGCTCTTTCGTGACATAACAGTAGCAACAGCCATGCTGATACAAGACGCAAGGCTAGGACTGGTACATTGGTACCCGAAGTATCAGCATGCAAGAAATGTGTATTGACACTGGGTTTCTGGGTGACCCCTGAATAATGACGGTAATTACCCAAAAAAGGCTACAATGGTACTACTGAGGAGCCTAAAACAACCGTACAGGAAGACAGACTACCTGCTGACAGCACGTCTATGTTTCATAATCGTACATGCCCCTAAGGCTCCATGTGCCGATATAGTATATACCTAGGTCTTAAAGTACATATAAGGGGACCCCTTTAAGGCTTCAGCATCTACTATAAAGGTACATCGAGCCTCAAACCCTAAATCCTAAACCCTTATGATACCCTTTATAGAACCCGTAAAGGAACCCAAAACCCTAATATGGGTGCATTGGGCCCAAAGTATATACTATTTGGATACATGGACCCTTAGGGTAATATAGGGGCCTTGATTAGAATAGGGTTTTGGGACCCTTTACACTATGATTATAAATAAGGAACCCCAAACATAGTTTTACCTAATTATTAACTATTGATTGAAGATGTTGTACACTTGATCCTTTTCATATTGTATGTTCTACAGTCAGGTTCAACGTTCCTCAACAGCCGGTCGAGTGGGCCGAGCAGAAATAACTGGCCGCATCTACACGGGAATTTCCGAAAATTAGGGGTGCTGTATTTGGGGTTCGAATAATAAGGATCCTACCATTTAGGGCACTCTATTTTTGGGTCCCCTAATTTTCGGAAACCCCTACACTGTATCGGGCAAGCCAAACAGTCGATACGGGAAGACCAAGACACCCTCATACGAAAATGGCTTCTTTATCTACGAGGCTTGTGAAAATTTGGTGAGACTACTCTATGGGTTGCATGCGCGACTGGAGAACTTTACATCAGATTGATGGGCAGCCTTATCGCATAAACATGATGTTTCCTCGGATACCCAGTAACCTAAGAATAAAAAGGCCTCTCTTTTTGGTATTGGGTAACTTTATAATTTATAAGGAACCTAGGACTACAAAAAGGGAATAAGGGTACTACTGGAGATCCTAGTTTCGCTATATCCAGTACGTCTTGAGATGGTGGCAACAGGCAATAAAAGAGGCCAGCGTATGCCATGTGTGCTCAGGAAAGCTGGAAGGTACAGCTTCTAAAATACGCGTCGCGAGTGACGCATGGCTGGCGAACCTTTGGCAGCGGGCCTGAACTTCGCATAAAAGCTGGAAATGCTGAGTTTCCTGGTGCAAAAGAATTCTTAAGTACAGTGGGAGAAAAACCATAAGCCTATACCCTAACAACAGATGCAAACCCGAAGCCCAAGTACTAAAGCTTGATCCACAAACGTGAAACGTCCACTACCACCAGTTCCACCACTACCATGACTACCACCACTACCACCACTGCTACAACTACTACCGCTACTGCCACAACCACTACCACTACCACTACAACTAGCAATACCACTAGCGCTACCGCTACAGCTACCGCTACCACTACCATTACCACTACGACTACCACTACCACTACCAATGCCAGTACCACTACTATTGCTACTACTGCTGCTACTGCTGCTACTACTACTACTACTACCACTGGTACTGGTGCTGGTACTTGTACTTCTTACTTCAACTTCTACTTCTACTTCCACGACGACGACAACGACGACTACTACGACGACTACTACGACGACTACGACTGCGACTGCGACTGCGGCTACGGCAACGGCTACGGCTACGACGACGACAGCAACGACAACGACAACGACAACGACAACAACAACAACAACAACAACAACAACAACAACAACAACAACAACAACAACAACAACAACAACAACAACAACAACAACAACAACAACAACAACAACAACAACAACAACAACCAACAACAACAACAACAACAACAACAACAACAACAACAACAACAACCACAACAACAACAACAACAACAACAACGACAACAACAACCAACACAACAACAACAACAACCACAACAACAACCACCACAACAACACACAACAACAAACACATACAACAACAACAACAACAACAACAACAACAACAACAACAACCACAACAACAACAAACAACAAACAACAACAACAACAACAACAACAACAACAACAACAACAACAACAACAACAACAACAACAACAACAACAACAACAACTACAACTACAACTACAACTACTACTACTACTACTACTACTACTACTACTACTACTACTACTACTACTACTACGACTACTGCCACTACTAAGACAACGGCGACTACTACTACTACTACTACTACTACTACTACTACTACTACTACTACTACTACTACTACTACTACTACTACTACTACTACTACTACTACTACTACTACTCTTACTACTACTACTACTACTACTACTACTACCACTACTACTACTACTACTACTACTACTACTACTACTACTACTACTACGACTACTACTACTCCTACTGCTACTACTACTACTACTACTACTACTACTACTACTACTACTACTACTACTACTACTACTACTACTACTACTACTACTACTACGAACACACGATGTGGATCTTCGTAAACACGTGGATTTCGTCATAGCACTTCAGCACAAAGCTCTCTGTGTGAATCCTGATTTGAGGGATAATCGAGTTGTTAAACCAGCTTTCCAGTCTCCCGGTACCTCAGCCCACCACAGACTACGTCTGTTCGGGTCCTGATGCTAGTAAAGATGTCACAGGGGCCAAGAAGACTGGGCAGCTCAAGGTGGGGTTTACAGTCTTTTGAGGGCCCTCAACGCTGCATCAGGTTCGCGATCTCGCTGCACGGGAACGGTGGGCCCTGAAGGCCTTGTTCTGACCACTCGTGGGCCCGTGGAAGACCGGGTCCCCCTGCACTTAAAAGGGAAAAGGCTTCCTACCTATAGTCTCCATTGTAGTTCCTTTTTCTGGTTAACCAGTTTTATGGTTAGGATCCGATAATAGAGTTTTTGGTTAACCAAAAAACGGAACTACAATGGAGACTATAGGTAGAGCTCATCAACAAAATGCTGGGTTTAGCGGTTCATGGATTAACCGGGAAGTGGGCCCCACTCCCGAAGCAGCCACGAAGGCAAAGGCCCCTACTTACCTCTTGATGAGAAACGGTAGTTTCCGAAAATAGGGGTACCTTATTTTGGGGGTCCTTATATAATAAGGGTCCTACTATTTCGGATACTTTATTAGGGTCCCCTATTGTCGGAAAGTCCCAAATAGCAGTGCCCTTTAACGGCTACTTGGGGGGTCCTGGTGGGGGTTTAGGAGTGAGCATCGAAGTCCACAAGTTCAGGCGTTTAGGGTTGAGTTTTTTTCTGTAAGTGCAGGGTTGAGGGTTCAGGGTTTAAGGGTTCACGCGTTTAGGGGTTTGCTTTTTTGGGGGGTCTAGGGTTCGGGGATTTGACGGTTTAGGGTGCATCCGGAGTTCCTGGGTCAACTTGAGCAGGCCAATTTGTACAAGAAGGGCAAGGGCATCGGTCTGTCTCCCGGTGAGCCCAGTACTCCGTCGTAACGTAATTGAGGGTTTAGGGAGTAATATTCCTCAGATTCCTGCACAGGATCTCGTTCTGATATGAAGCACATTCCTCGGTTCAGGCGTGTTGAGCTCACCGGGTTGTCGATTGCGGCCCTCACGGTGCTTCTTGTCAGGTTCGTCGGGAACAAGACCATTTGTGCTCATGGTGAGACAGCTTCTGCTTCAAAACAATCGAACTTTCTGCAGCTCCGGGCCCATGTGCCAGGGTTTGGGAGCCCTATATAGATAAAAACGCTTGAACTCCTGAACCTCGACTTCTAATTTCAGGAACCGATCTTATGTATCTGAGCGCTACACCCCGAAGTCCGAGAGCCTACTTGTAGCAGTGAATGTTTGGTAAGGATATCGCTGACTGATTATTTCAATGAAAGAACGACCATCATCAACGTCAAACCACAACGCCCGAAACCACCTAAGGCCTAGACCTCGCCTACCCGATACTCTAAACCGCTAAACTCCCTCGCACAGCTGAGACGCTAGAGCCTGAACCCCCCAAAGCCGGAAGCTAGAAACCTCACTGTAAAAGAACCCTTCACAAGAACCCCTTGTAGGAACTCTAAATCCTAAATCCTAAACCACCTTTTAGAGGAATCCCTTGCAAGCACCTAATCCAGCTTACATAGTCGGCACCTTATACAAGAACCCCTTACAGCAAACCTTAAGCCCTACACCTCAAAAAGGGACCTTCTGGGAACAAAGGAACCCCACCGTTTAGGGTACCCTTGTACTTGCAGTAACCTTGAGAAGTCCTCTAGGAGACTTAACCCGTAAACCCACAAAGGGATCCTTCACTGAAACCTTACAGGAATTTTTAGACATCCCAGAACCCTGAATTGAGCAATATGCCGTTTCGGAGTCACAGGGCCGGGCCCTAGACCCTAACCTAAGCCCGAAACCCTAAATCCTAAACCCCTAAACCCCTAAATCCCTGAACCCCTTCCTTTAAGGGTTCCTTTAAGGGCTCCTAGTGTTCCTAGGGCTCTAAACCCTAAGCCGCTCAGGACCCTTCTTAAAGGCTCATGGGACTTAGTAAGTAAGGTTATAAGTAGGTTAAGCCCACTTAGGGGACTTATAACCCCAATTATAACCTACTTACTAAGTCCCATGATCCTCTAAGTTGCCTAAACTACCCCTTATAGAACCCCTATATAGATCCCTTAAAGGAGCTCTTTTAAAGCAACCTACTTACTAAGTTCCATGATCCTTTAAGTAGACTCAGGGCTCCGAGCCAAGATCGGTAGTCGGAGCACGACAAGTCGGACACGAGCCAGCGCAGCCCGTCGGGGATACTAACCTGTGGCTTAGAATGCCTTACTTACAGGATCATGGGGCTTAGTAAGTAGGTTATAATTGGGCTTATAAGTCCCCTAGGTGGGGTTTTTTCCTAATTATAACCTACTTATAACCTACTTACTAAGTCCCATGAGCCTGCAAGTAGGGGTTATGGTTTATGATTCAGGGTTTAGGATTTCGAGTTTAGGGTTTAGGGCTCGTGGGAGGGCATAGGGAGAAGAACCTGGGGCTTAGGAAAGCTCTTGGAATGGGCTTTGTAGGGGTTTGTCGGGTTTTCGTCAGGGCTTTCAGGGATGAGCACCCCAGACCCTAAACCCTAAACCGGGTTGCAGAGGGGTACCGGGGAGTTGACACAGGCTTTAATGAGGTCTTACAGCGTCCGGCGGTTCGCGCTGGAGGCCAAAGCTTAGTCTTTGAATACAAAGGCCTGGAAAATAAGAATGGGGTTTTCAGCATTTTACACTATAACCCTAAGGCTCATAATGGCCCAAAAGCCTTACATAATACGGTCTTTAGGCCCAAAAGCCTCAACATATGAGTCCTTAGAGCCTTAGGGTAACTATAATAAGGAACCCTAGCAATAATATTGGTCATATTCTAGGCCCTGACAAGATGTCGGGGGCTTCGCGCTCGGGTTTCGGGCATCGTTTGGGGTTTGGTAAGGCGGGTAGACGGGTAAGGTTTAGAAATTTTTGGCTCAGGTTTCAGGGTATAGGGCCTACTTCACGGCATGGGGCTCAGAGTATTGTCAGGCGTGTGTGATTTAAGATGACTTCAACATAGGGCTCTACCCTTTCGGCTTGTAGAAAGAAATCCCACCACCCAAACCGTAGCCTAACCATCTAAACAAGAAACATGCCGAAAAAGAAAACCTGAGCACCAGGGAAAGCAACTGACTGAACCCGCTCCAAGATGCCCTTGTCCTTTTAGAAATGATAGACAGAGCCCTATACCTATATCCCTTAGTAGGAATTATTTAAGAAGGTCTACTAGCCGGTCTGTTTATTCTTTTTGGAGAACCATGAAAAAGGACAAGGCTGCTCCAAGAAGCCCTTGATGGGTTTGGGGTATGCCATAGAGCTCCTGATACTTTGGGACGCTCAAGACTTGGACATCTGAGGTCCCAGAGAGACCCAGGTGCTTGTCTTCAGCAACGATAAAACCTGAACCCGAAACCCTAAACAAACCCTGAATCCCAAACCCTTACCCCCAAACCGTAAAGGTAGGTTTAGGAATTAAATCTCTGCCAGCAACCATCGGGCGATGCAGTCGTCGTGGAAGGCATGGCCACATGGCAGTACCTCTCTTTACAGCAGCTTGGTGGCGAAGGCGCGGGGTCAGGGGTCATCACAGGCTCGGAAGCCTAGAGGCCAAAGCAAAAAGCTTAGCGTTCTGCTATTGGGAAAGCAAGAACCTAAAGCATAAACCGTAATTAAACCTTAAACCCTAAACCCTAGCCCCCAAACCCTAATCCCTGAACCCTATACTCTCATCCCTAAGCCCTAAACAGCAGCGAGGGACGCAGACTTGGGTGTCCGGCTGGAAGTCCTCCAAGCAACAGATGCACGTCTTCTGAGACGATGAACCGATAGAAGCTGCTCTCCAGGCTTCCTAGGCTTCCATAAGGCAGTAGCTTAAGGTGTGTAGGGTTTAAAGGTTTAGGGTTTGAGGGCTTTAGGATTTAGGGAGGTTTTTGATGGTTTTGATATGAGGAATTTCCGAAAGTTAGGGGTACCTCAATATGGGGTCCTTGTAATCAGGATCCTACTATTTAGGGTACTATATTGGGGTCCAGTTTTTTTGGAAACACCCTCCTAGGCTTCCGTCAGGCAGTAGCTTAGGGTGTGCAGGGTTTAAGGGTTTAGGGTTGATAGTACGTTTTGGGTACTCCCCGTTAACTCTCCAACCCTCAAACCTCAGGGACTTAAACCGAAGCTCCTTAAGGCTCCATGTACCCATATAGTATATACTTAGGCCTTAAAGTACCTACATAGCTACCCCTTTCAGGCTTAAGTATCTACTATAAAGGTACATGGAGCCTTAAACCCTAAACCCTAAACCCTTATGATACCCTTTATAGAACCCTTAGAGGAACCCTAAACCCTAAACCCTTAAAGTACATGGAGCCTGTGGGGCTGTATGTATCGGAGGTGCTGGCTTTGCCGCAGCCCAGTCGATGGTCAGCTGGCCTTCTTCCAGGTGAACCCTGCGAAACTGAAGGCGAGCTGTGCCAAGCTTATCAAACCTCAGTCTCTCAGAGGGGCAGTATGGGTTTAGGGCTTAGGGAATAGGGTTTAGGGTATCAAACCACCCTAATTTTCGGAAAACTCCCACATTGCTCTTGGGAGTTTCGGGAGCCTGATTCGGCTTAGGCTTTCGGGCTGAAAGCTCAGTCCTTCTCTTGTAGGGACCTACAATCCATAGGGGCCTAAATAATTACTTATGCTATTATTTTGGGGGTATCCTTATCATAATTTAAAGTCTAAGATCCCCCAAAAACTTATGCTAATCATTCAGGCCCCTATAGTAATCAGAATTGGGTTCCTTGTAAAGGGATCTATAAGGGTTACTATAGGGGTTACTATAAGGGGTATCATGGGGATCTAATATAGCGGCCTAGATAGTTGCAATGGGGTCTGGGGGCCCATTACACTTTAATTTTTAATCAGGAACACCAGAAAAATAGCATTGGTACTTATTCAAGCCCCTATGATGACCTCTATGTTGGATACCTGGCTCAGGGTTTAAGGCTTCGGGACTTGGGATTTGGGGTGTAACGTCGTGAACAGCGCTCAACCCGGGTACTAAAGCTGACAGGATTTGCTTCTGATCTTATGCCAAGAACAGCAGATGAAACGACACATCCGAAACAAAGCGAGCCTTTGCCGAGGTCCTCATAGTGATGACCCTACTGAATGCGGACTGTTCTTTGAGCATCCCAGTTCAAGGCGGCGGTCTTTCTTCACTCACGGAACGTGGAAACCCTATCTCTCCGATAGCCACAGCCATCCACTGCTGACAGGTGCTTCTATGTTTGTCAGCATACTTGCAATGCAACAAAACAGTGCGAACTTCTCAGTATGCCCCCGTCCCCAAGCCCTAAACTCTACACCTTGAAGGGCCTGAACCCGGGACCCGACTTTTAGCACAGCGACCGGGTTTGGGCCAGCAAGCAACTGCGGTATCTTTCTGACGATTCTTCCTTAGCTGAAAACAAGGCCCGAAAACGAGAGTCGGTCGTGAGGCTTTCCTAAAGGCTCCACTTTCTGGGCACATGGAGCCTTAGGGATTGAGGGTTTAACGAGTCTCGGCTATGGCGATTGGTGAAAATCCTCACATGGTAGTTTCCGAAAATAGGGGACTCTAACATATAGTATCCGAAATAGTTGGATCCTTATTATCAGGACCCCAAAATAAGGTATCCCCTGATTTTCCGAAACTCCCATATCCAAACTGGCATAGAGCAGGGGGATGCTGGGGATACAGGCAGACTCAAAAGTAGCGAATCAAAGTCTTGCTGTACCCTGGGGCTCCATAGTAGTTCCTTTTGGAGGCTTCATATTTAAATCCTATAGAGTGATCCCAAAAAGGAACTACTACGGAGCCTATGTGTAAGCTGTAAACGCTCAGCGTCCTTCCTTGCGCCTCTCCTTTCGCAGGTCTTTTGGATCCAAAGCATGCCTTTGTTGTCCCGGGGCTTACGGCTTATGGTTTGAATGAACCAACAGAGGCTTAACCTGTTATTGTCGTTGGTCTATATACGTAAGTTAAGTCTAAGAAGATTACCGGTCAACTACCAAAGATGCACTTCAACTCGGTGATCAGCATCCCGGTGAGCAAGCCGGAGATCAGAAAATGCACCCAGCCTCGGCAGTGACTCTGGTCATGCGCCATACGCTTGACACCCTCTTTATTGAATTTGTCGAGGCATTTTGTACTGCTCTCCCCTCATGGTCTCGTTCTTGGGTTGCTGTTGCCGTGGGGGGTTGCCGGCTTGCCTGGGCTGGTGCGGAAGGACACAGCAACAGCAACATAAAACTTATGCGGTACTTACATGAGTGAGTGAGTGAGTGAGTGAGCGAGCGACTAGCTGCACGAGGTGGTGCGCGCAGCAGCCATGCCTAAGGCGCCGTTCCCTCCCGGCTTCTCAGGGGGCTCCGCAAGCGTCATTGCCCCCTCCACTTGGAGTTCCCGCTGGCGAACGCCCCAACCCCAGAAACAACGTTATGAGGTCAGCAAAGACGGCCCAGTTTGGCAAGAGGGCATGCCAACAGTACTTACATGCATGCGTGCTTACATAAATACAAACATACACATCCACGCCTGCCCGTGTTCGCACATGCTGGGGCATACAGACATACCGACTGAACGAGGAATCGAGAGTTCGAAAGCCTGAACTCTATTATAAGTGGCTAAGGCGAAACGTGGACAGTATCAAGGGCTGAACAGCCTGAAAGGAGCTGGGAATGGCAGACCGCAAAACTCGACAGCAGTCGAACATCTGCGACCCTAAAACAACATCGAACATCAGATCCTAGACTACAAGCAAGCATAGTATAGTTACTTTAACAGTAACCCGTGTTACTAAGTCCCATGATCCTCCGTGTAGGGAGGCAGTGGGGTGTAGGAACTTCTAAACCCACGGGTCGTAAAAGTCCAGGAGCCAGCTCGAAAGCAGGACTTCCTCAATCGGAGTCCCACGCCCACAAAACTCCAAGGAAGGGGATTGGGGTTTAGGGGGTTTAGGATTTAGGGTTTGGGATTTAGGGTTTAGGGGGTTTGGGGTTAGGGTTTAGGGTTGCGGGTGCAAAACTCCAAACTCCCAACCCCAGGCTGTGCAATGAAGATCCCTCTGGTGTTCGAAGCCCTAAAGCCCTGATACACTCTAGGGCTTATAAACTCCAACCATCAAGCCTCAAGCCCTAAACCCCCAACTGAGCCTTACACCCCAAAGCCCTAAGCCCCTCAACCTCGAATCCCGAAGCCCTGAACCCCCAAACACCAAACCCCGAAAGCCAAAAGCCTGGCAGCGGTTTGGGTCTCCGTCGTCAGCCTCTAAGCCAATCCTGGTGTTGATCACCAGCGCGCTGAAGGTGCCAATTACACCGACACCGATGAGGTATCCGATCATGGCTTCCGATGGTTTACAGTAGAAGCTCGAAAGTTGGAAACCGGATTAAGGCCCAACAGTGCTGGGATTCGCTATGCATTTACTCTTAAATGATCGAGGCTATTGGGTGTCCAACTTTTGGGCTTCTACTGTAGGGTTTCAGGGTTTTGGGGCTTAGGAACCCTGAACACTGATTTTGGGGCTGCGGGTTTAGGGGTTTATTTAGGGTTTGGGGGTTTAGGGATTCACCCTGGAAATGTGCAGGCTTTCAAGCCCTCTTTGGGGTAAGAGGCTTAGGATGGTTTAGGTGTTAGGGTGCGCAAGACATGATACCTTGTGCTATCCCAGTGGCCGCAACATGAAAGCCTGAACAATTACCAATCATCTTCCTTAGGGTTCTTCCATACGGCCTGCCCAGCTGCCTCTGCACTTCCCCATGGAACCGGAACGCTGCGGAACGATCGGTAATCTTGAGCTCTAAGTCGTGCAAGAAGGGACACATGCGAGATTTTGATACTAGGGATCCTATCTCTGAAACTCCCAACTTTCTGGCTTCTCCAGTAGCACCTTCTAACCCTAAATCCTAAACCCTAATTCCTAAACCCTAAACCCTAAATCCTAAATCCTAAACCCTGAATCCTAAACCCCTAAATCCCAAACCTCTAAATCCTTAACCCTAAATCCTAAACCCTCAATCCTAAGTCCTAAATCCTAAACCCTAAATCCTAAACCCCGAACCCTTAAGCCGAATAGCCGGCTTATCGCCGATTCTGAGAAGTCTCGCTTGGGGATACGGTTGTTGATATAAATCCTGCATTACCCATAATAAGGAATATACCATAATTCCCATGGTTTATAGTAAAAGCTAGAAAGTTGGAATATGATTATCCTAAACCCTTTATGGTAAATTATAAGGTATCCTACCCTGAAACCATATTCCAACTTTCTGGAGTTCCCTTTAGGGTCCTTGAGGTAATGCAGGATTTATATCATCAACAGTATTGCAGGCGGCCAACTGCGGGTTCAGTCTTTAGAGCTTTAGGGTTCGGGCTTCCCGGCTTTAGGGTCTACATAGGGCGTTAGAGGTTTAGGGGTTTAGGGTTTACATATGAGGCCTTGGGGATTTAGGGGTTTAGGGTTTTGGGTTTAGGGCAGGAATTAGGGGTTTCGGGTTTTTGGGGAGTCATTAGGGGTTTCGGGTTTGGGGAGTCAGGGTTTGACGTTTCAGGGTTCAGGCTTGCACGGGGTAGGTTTTGATGGTCAGTGCATTTGAGGCTGAGGGTCTGGTGAATTCAGGCCGTGTTCTCATCAACATGATTGCGGCTGTTCGAGAGATCAGTAACACCCACAGAGACATTTCCAAGAAAACATGTGCACTGATAAACTCACTGCCCCAAAACCCAAGGAATGTAAGAGTTGAAACTTTCAGAATCGACTACCTTAGAAGATCCCCAAAACTTGAAAAGGTAAGTTTACAGCCAGTAAGTTACATGCCATCGGGAGTTATTCGGGCAAGCACACACTGCAGATACCGAAGCCTTGAAGCACAAACCTACCCTAAACTCTAAGCCCTACGGCTGATGATATAAATCCTGCATTACCCATAATAAGGAATATACCGTAATTCCCATAGTTTGGGGTCCTTAAGGTAATGCAGGATTTACAGAAAATAAGACATTACGGGCCCCATATTTACAGTTTTACTGTTTTTCATGTTTTTGGTTTGCTTCAGATTTGAAGCAACATCACTCGTGCACACGATATCGTTATCCTCATATGCATATTCTTAAATAGGATACTTGTACGTATACCCATACATGTGCTTGTTTCAACTGTCGACGTGACTATAGAGCAGGAGGTTTGACTCACTTCTTGGCTGGTTTAGGCCCGAAGGGCGAGAACACTGCTACTAAGGGGAAGGCGGGGGGGGAGGGGGGGGGGGCGAAAAAAAAAAAAAAAAATCTGGAGGGTAGGGGGGGGGGGGCAGAGCCAAAAAAAAATAAAAAAATCTAAAATCTAAAATCTATTTTTTTTTTTTGCGCTGCCCCCCCCCCCCCCCCCCGCCAGATTTTTTTTTTTTTTTTGGTGGCTGCCCCCCCCCCCCGCGCGGGGACAGCAAGGCAAGTGACAGCCAACGCCATGGTGCGCCATACTGCGGGAGCGGACACCAACCAAGAGCCACATGATTTAAACCTGGTGTCCTTAGCCCTTAGCCCATGCAAGCCTCACTGCAAGTGAGTAGATACTCTATGCCGAATATTAAGATCAATGAGATTACAAATTTACCAGATAAACATCTATAGAATCTATAAAAGACCTCAGAGACTTACTGCGTATAGAAAAGTCGATATCTGAGATTACAGCTCACAAAGATGATAAACTATTTATGACTGATGACATCATATGACGAGGAGACCTTACATTAACATACATTCGATGGATGCGAACTCACGACACAACCACTGCCTGAGCAATGGCAGGTGGACAACCAGTTGAAGGGTCTGTCGTAGTCAAACGATAACAACAATGCTTGATGTCGCATATGATGTGGTAGCATATGCGAGGACATACGGTCGGTATATATGCTGGATGTCAGATACATGCATGACCAGTCTCCTCGATAACATATACAACAAACACTGTCTTCGCCTTTCATTGACAGGTTGCGATGTAAGGAATCCGAATCCGACTATCTTTTAGGTGCATGAAAACGGGAGTTTGAATATTCCACTTGTGCGATGTTCGAGCAACATGGTGGGCTCTGTCGGGGAGTTTACAACTGGAAATCATTATTGGTTTATGTTCCTGTGATCAGGATCGGCTACTCGCAGTAATCTGAATATCACTATACCAAAACTGGCTAGATATGGAAACAATATATCTCATGAGCACGTCATGGTGAAGTATCAATCTTCCCGTGAACCATGCGCATCATAGTATGATATGGCGTAACACACTCGTGCGCATGTAGCATGAGGTGCTAGGGAGATGCCATACGAGCTTGGCAAGCTCACGGGATGCACGAGGACATCTAAGTCAAATCTCATAGTGAAGATATGTGTCATGAGATGCTGCCTGCATCTTGCGACCTATTCATACTTAGCTGCGACTGTTGTAACTTCATGCGAGATTGGGTTTATGTGTGAGAATAAGTCTCCGGGCTTTTAGAAAGGTCTACCGAGGGGTTTAACCAATATGTGGTGCAATCCCGCTTGCCCGCGCGGCCGGAAGGCGTAAAGGGGGAAGCCCGAACGATGCGGGCATCTTATAAGGACACATACTGCGATGATCTATACGGATGGCTCAATATCATAATGATATGTTGAAGAAATTTCCTGGTGCTCTATGTTGATATGGCCATATTCAACACACAACATGCCTTTTACATCGAAGGAATGTGGCGAATATCATGTTCAACTGCCGGTTGGGTGCCTCATTATGACGGCTCCATTACTCTTGCCAAAACTGGCATGCAGCTGCCAATGTAATCTGCCATGTTTACTTCCACCACAAGAGATACTTGACTTCTTGATGATGTCACATATTAAAAAGTTGGTTTTAGGCATAGTATAGTTCTTATACGTTTTCTTGGGTAACAGGATTTAGTTTACGGAGATATCCACAAGACACACGATGAAGTGCGTCATGGGCTTTAACAAGACCATATTAGAATGGTTGCGGCATACAGGTGCATTGCCTGCAGCATAGATATAACAAGCGGTATCGTTTACAGCTGATGACAATCGTATGTGCGTGTCGGTGTATGTTTGTGTGTGCATGTGCAAATAATGTGTTTTCACGGCAGTCAACTTATGACTAGATGGTATGAGCAACAAGACAGCGAAAATGATTAATATTGCAGGTGGATCTCCATATGTCTGCATATACAATAATGATAGCAAAGCACCATCTCCTTGAAAAGTATATTAACTCAATTATATCCTTATCCTTTGGGGGCTTGTGGGCTTCAGCCGCAATGATCACTAATCTGAATAAGCCAGCATTGTAGCTGTCAGGATGTATACAGCAACATCCATGCGATGATTGTCTTCGAAGGTCGTAGGTTTTCAGTTTTCTGGGTTGGCTTCTGTGAGAAGCTATTGCAATTGAAATACACAATTCCGCACACACAGCTCCAAATACTAGACAAATTATTGGACTGGGAGCTCCGAAACAAGGACAACCAATGCAATAATAATCGCAAACAATAATTCGCTTTTGAAGGAGGTTGCACTAAACAAGCTAGCATTCATACGAAAAGCGGTATCGAAACTGAATGTAGCAAAGACATCTATGCACATATATGTATATATGTACATATGCAAATGGATCCGGTAACACTATCCAGTTGATCGCCTGCATGTACACAGCTTGAGACGGTGGGAACCGTTTGAGCAACCTGCCTGTATGATGCCAAACTCAACTTGTCCTGCTACAGTATATGCTGGACGTCTATAACCAAAATCATATGTTACCATGCACATGATGGGGCCTGCAAAAACCGGTAGGATATGTAAGCGATTCTTTACGTTGATATACAAAAGTTATATAGATTGACCGGTCTTGTACATCACTCAAGGGTGGAGAAATGCACGGTTTCGCAGACGCATTGTATCTCATTTATCTGCAAGATTATACTATGAGACACAAAGAACAACCACAAGATTGAAGTGGCATTGATTTATCGGATAGTCTTCATGAGACTCCACAATGAAAGGTAGTCACACGTGCATCCCATGTTGATTGGAAAAGTATTTCCCATATCAGGCATCAAGAGCAACAGGGTTAAGTAAGCTTGAAAACCACTAGTATGCAAATTATGACGATTGTAAGTTTTTGTGCTGAAAACTCTTAGAAAACAGCATTTTGACTGGAAAATATGGGGCCCGTAATGTCTTACACTCTCAGGATTTATATCATCAACAGCAAGAGCCAGAAGCCATCAGCAAGCAGCGAACCGGGACAGCCCAGGAGGCCCAAAACTCCGAAACCCTACGACCCAAAACCGGACCCTTAAAGGA